GTTATCTCCCATAGTTTCAGAATATAGAGGTTCTTAGACTTTGTTAGTAGAAGCTGTAAAATGATTTTCACATGTACTTGTGAGCAGAAAATGATCCAATAAAAATATTAAGAAGTCTAGTCACATTATTTTAAATGTTGAAAAAAAAATAAGTTCAGAACATTATTAGTTTATATGTTATATACATAGAATTTCATTTGCAATACCCTCCATCAAATACAGATGAACATAATGCAGCACCACACATATGGTTGTGGGGTTTGAACTCAAAAACACAAATAGGTCTTTATTTAAAGTAGAAGTTAAGCAAAAACTGGAAGACCCTCAACAAAATGGATTGATACTGTGTCTGTGAAAATGAGCTCAAGCATGACAACGATTGTGAGGATGGCCCAGGACAAGAGCAGCATTTCATTCTGTTGTACATAGAGCCGGAAGTGACTCAATGGCACAAGCCTTGGTTCTCTAGTGCTACTCTAACAGAAAATACCACAAATGGATGTCTGTAACAAACAGGGATTTGTTCTCTTACAGTGTATGAGGCTAGAAGTCTGAGTTCAAAGTGCTAGCTCCAGGGGCTGGGTGAAAGCCCTTTGACCTTGGGCTTCAGCTCTGCCTTTTGTTCCCAGCCCACTGAAGCTGGAGCCTTCTCTTAACTCATGCAGCTGCTGGCTGCTGAGGCTGACAAACCCAGGGTCTACAAATAAAATGGCACAGTCCCAAGATTACCAAACAGCATGGTAGGCCACTAGTTCGATTCCAGAGACAGTTCCAAGATCAGCAGGAAACATGGCAGGCTGCTGAATGAAGACTTGGCTACATGCAGGGCCCAAGCATGCCAAAAAAAGCTCTAGGGACCTTTCTCAATGTTTCTTCTTATATACTGGAAGTAGACCACATCCCTAAGGCAGCTACTCAGCTGCTCCACTAGATTCTACCATGGAGTTGATTACCAGTCTCATCATGGGGAATAACTACATCCAGCTGCCCAACCACTCAAAACCAGTCCCAGCCAAGTTGACACATAACCTTAACTACCACAGCACCTAACAACAACAACATATTTACTTGTCTTTATGTTGTAATTGTTAGCTGCCAGTGACTTGAGTTGGCCTGGACTCAGAGACCCCATGTACAAATCAAGGCAACGCTACCCACATTAGGTTGCAGATCAGGTGGTAGCTGTGCATGAGGTACAATGACTGGAATTCAGAACTGGGTCTTTTGCACTAGAGGTGAGAGTTATACCACTGAACCACAACTGCTCCTCCGCTTGGTTTTTTAGCAGGATACAAAGTAGGCAATGCAGCAGATACAACAGTATCATTTCATTGAGAATCCCAGGGGCTACCTGAGTACATAGCTTCTTTTGCCTCCTCACCCACACAGGGAAAGGCTGCCAGGATGAGAGCTAAGAGGTGTCAGAGTCACCTTGAATAGAAGCCACAACCTCTATTCCCCATCAATTGTCCATCCCTTTCAGTGACAAAGACCCAGGAGGGCCGGTATTCCAATTCACAGCTCCTGTCAATATAGTTGCAGTTGCACACAACAAGCAAGGCAGGCCCAACTTTTCTCCATTTATCTTAATGTTGGTATTTCTAAGGAAATAGTACTGCGGGAGCTTAAGGTCAGTCTTAGGCTGGTGTACATCAGCCCAGGTCAGATGTGAACTCTTTACTCATGAATATGTATGCATTTTACACAACATCTATAAATGGATACGCAATATGTTTCATTATACACAGTTTACATATAATAAGAACACATGTAAAATCTCTTTCCTTTTAAATTATTGATTAATTATTTTATCCATATTTCTCCTTTTCACCCCACAACTCAAGGGTCCAATGAAAAGAATCTAATTTTAATTAGTTAGTCCTTTCAAAAGCATATACAAATATTTTTCTAAACTATGAGACACTGTAAAATGATGCACTAGTATATTAAGGAGCTCTGATGGCACAGTGCCTAACACACTTGACTGCTAACCAGAGAGTTGGTGGTTCAAACCCACCAGCCACTCCATGGAAGGAAGATGGAGCAATCTACTTCAGTATGTTTATATAGTTTGCTTTGTATTATTCATAATATCAGAATGATATTATTATATAACATGTTATATTATAACATTTATATTTGTATTTTAATGTAATATATTTATATTAGGATGTTGTTACTAATGATACCATAAAGGACGGCATTGTTGGATCTCTCTCCCACAGTGTCTGGCTGTCTGTGAGGAATTGCTCTATGTCTGTCTTCTGTTGCTTCTGTAAGGATTGCGGGTATTTTGTATCACTGGTTTCTGTGCAAGATTCACGTCAGCTGAATCTATCCTTGGTCTAGAGTATAATCCTGTTCCCTGGAGATCCTGGATGGACTGGGAGGAAAAACAAAATCTAAAAGCATAATAATGACCAGAATTACTGGTCAGATGGAGTCTGGTGGGACCCCCAATACTATGGCCTGGGGATACACTTTGGGCTCAGAATAAAGCTCACTCCCAGGGGCTGGCTCTCAGCCCAATAGTAAACAAGATGTACCCATAGAACACTCAACCCAGGCTGACGCACCCACATACTCTATGGAAATGCATCCCTTGGAGCATGACCACAAGGCACCAGAGGGACAACAGTCACACAGAGGAAATGCAGGACACACAGGAGTGTATAACTATGAGGAGCAGGGGGGTGGGTACAGGGCAGGGAGGGGAGGAGAGTTGGTTAGGGTTGGTGATGGTAATTGGGGAGTGAAACCAAATAAACATGTAATGTTGAATATAAAACAAGTCTGCTCTGTAAATTTGCACCTAAAGCACAATTAAAAAAAAAAAGTTCACATTGTGTATTCACATCCTTTACTCCTGAGTTCCTGTTTAACCCTTGATAATCTGAAGAAAAAGGCTTTACTTTTGCTTATCCTGGCTGTTTCCTTACCAAGAGAACTTGGGCAGTAATAAACACAAAGCCAAAGAAAAACAAAACTCACTGTCATCGAGTCACTTCCAACTCACCGTGCCCCCAATTGGGTTTCCAAGGCTGTAAATCTTTACAGAAGCAGACTGCTCCATCTCTGTTTGGTGGAGTAGCTGGTGGTTTGAACCACCAACCTTCTGGTTAGCAGCCAAAGGCCTTATCCACTACACCACAAGCTAATATTTAAAGATTTTATTTTCACCCACTACCATACAAAGTATTGTTGTAAGCTATTTTTGTGAATTCCTTTATTTAATCTCTACTGGCATCCTATGAAGCAAATACTAACATTGTCCTCATTTGGCAAAAGATGGAATCAGGATTTAAAATCAAGCAGCCTAACTTTAAACAAGTTGCCCTCTGTTGTTGTTGTTGTTATGTGCCATCAAGTCGGACCCGATTCATAGTGACCCCTCCTTGGGTTTCTGAGGCAGTATCACTACAGAAGTAGATTGCCCAACATTCCTTCCAAGGAGTGGCTGGTGGGTTTGAGCCACCAGCCTTCTGGTTAGCAGTCAAGTGCCTTAGGCCCTACACCACCAGAGCTCCTAGCTGCTCTCTGTTGTTGTTGTTGTTATGTGCCGTCGAGTCAGCCCTGACTCATAGCGACCCCTCCTTGGGTTTCCGAGGCAGTATCACTACGGAAGTAGGACTGCCCAACCTTCCTTCCGAGGAGTGGCTGATGGGTTTGAACTGCCAGCCATCTGGTGAGCAGTCAAGTGCCTTAGCCACTATGCTACCAGAGCTCCCAGTTGCTCTCTAGTCAATTCCAATTCATGGCAATTCCATGTGTGTCAGAGTAGAACTGTATTCCATAGGACTTGCAATGGCAGATATTTTGGAAGTAAATCACCAGGCCTTTCTTCTGACATGACTCTGGGTAGATTTGAATAAACAACCTTCAGCCCTTTCATTGTTTGCATAACTTGGGGGACTCCACCCTAACTCTAGAACCTTACATTTTTAACACCGTATCATACTGCTTCCCATGCAGTATAACCTTTCTCAATACCAACATCATCATCTATGTATGAAATCAGGGTAGTACTAGAACCTCAATCAAAGGTTGTTGGGTTGATTCAAGAAGGTAATAAACATGGAACTTCCAAATACTGTATTTGGCACATACTAAACAAATAATAAAAATAACCTATATTCTACTCAAATTCAAAAGTATTTCTACTTTTCATTCTAATTGTTTGCTTCTGTTTTACTTGGTTATAATAGAGCTCATAAATCATAGTTCACTAAATGCTTACCTCACCAATTTTCCTCGGTTAAGCTTCTTAGGAAAAAAAAGTTAGAAGCAAGTATATTGGAAGAAAATGGTGGCTAAACAAGCAAACATTATACATTGGTTTGGTTTGAATTTTATGATGCTTTTTAAATACTATCACTTATTTGAGATTGAGATCTGTTATATATCTGGTAAATTAAACTCACTGCCATTAGTCGATTCCAACTCATAGTGACCCCCATTGGGTTTCCAAGGCTGTAAATCTTTACGGAAGCAGATCAATCCATCTTCATTCATGGAGCAGCTAGTGGGTTCAAACCACAGACTTTTTTGTTAGCTGCCAAATGCCTTAACCACTACACCACCTGAGCTCCTTATATATCTGCTAGTTATGCTGAATAACTCAGCTTATTCATTTTTACAACTGCAAAGGCACAACCCACCATTATATTTAGTAAGTGAGTGGTTGGATGAAGAATGTATTCCTTTCTCTGAATCAATTGAGTGTGCATTTGTGCTGATGTGTTTTGCTTTTGAATTTTCAAAAAAGCATTACTGTCTATAATGCCTAGAATGTTTAGAGAGAGAAGATAAATGATCGATGCATGTATTAAATTCTAATGTAAAATGTATGTATAATTAATGTCATGCTGTTAGAAAAACTGAAATTAGTAAATTTCTGTAACATTTTGTAAGAAATAATTTTGAGAATACTTCTTTTTTCCTTTTTTGGTTTACACTGTGAGAAATTTTTACCATGCTTTTTTTTTTTTTTTTCCTTTCAGGTTTCTAGAGATTTACCTGGGAAGCAAGAAGAAATTGAGGCTCACATAAAAGACCTTGGGCAGTTTGAAGAGCAGTTAAATCATCTGCTTCTGTGGTTGTCCCCTATTAAGAATCAGTTGGAAATTTATAGCCAACCAAATCAAACAGCACCAGTTGACATTAAGGTACAGACTTTTTGCTTTAGATATTATTTTATAAAGTGATGGCAATATCACTAAACTAAGTTACTCATGTATTATCTTTATTATTATTATCATCATCGTTTTTGTTATAATCAGCATCATCGTCATCATTATTTAGCTAAAATTTCCTGTTTGTCTTCCAGCATTTGCTAACAATAATGGTTTCATTAAGCTCTTATCACTAGAAAGCCTTCAACATGTTTGTCACCATGATTCCCTTTTCATTCTTACTTTAATTTACTAAATAAAACATATTTGTCTATCCCTTATGTAAATTTGAAGTCACTTAAGAGATTAGGTGCCTACAAAATAAACTCCAGATTTTTAAGTCGACATAAAAAGTCTTTCTCAGATTGGGTTGTTTACATTTCCATCCTCTTATTCTGCCAACATTCTCACTTCTCCTCACTTACAAACAATCTTGACTTACGTTCCAGCAACACAAAATTATATGGTATCTTTAGATCCAGGTAGTTTCATGCCTTCCCTGGGTTCTTCACCTTTCTTCTTCTTAGAATAATTTCTTTCTTCTTTTTGGCATGGTGAATTTTTCTCCATCTTTCAAGACCTAATTCAACAAACATCATTGTCTCTTCAAAGCTTTCTTCAATGCCCCAAATACAGTTAAAATCTGTCTTAGCATTTCTTCATGGGTAATGCGACTAGCTCCTATTCGCCAGTACAACTGCATCTCATCAATACTGATTATTCATTACTCAATACACAATATCACCAATGAAGTACAGTGTCTTGGTCCAGTACACATGAACTTCAGCCAGATTGTCAGTTATTTTGGACCCTGTATACCATTAAAAATCCCCTGAGTTACAAAATCATTTAAAAAAAAAAAAAAAAGACTAGGTTTGCTGCTCTGATGGAGCCTGATGAAATCCCTTAGACTATGACCCTTAGTTACCCTTCAGGTCTGCAATTGAACTCACTCCTGTGGCTTCCAGCCAAACAATTGACAGGCATATGGTGTGAATATATACATCAGGTAGACACAATCCTTGGAGCAATCATGGGAGAACAGATGGGCAGTGTTTGCACAGGGAGACAGCTGGGTGGGGGCAGGAGTGCATGGGAAGGAAAGACACAGGAAAGAGGTAATTGTATGGCGAGGAAGTGGGAAGAGAGCTGTTACGTTGTGGGGAATTGCAGTCAATGTCATGAAACAAAATGTGTATGAACTGCTGTATGGAAATGAATTTGCTTTGTAAATTTTCACCAAAATCACACACACACACACACACACACACACACACAATACCCGAATTAATATTCCAAGGAGGAAAGGTCATAAATCCTTCATCAGAAAGTAGCTTTTTGGAACTCTCCAGTAAAAGCACATTCTTCTACAATTTAAACACAATCTTTAACTAAAATATACCTCTTGGTTACAATAATGCAAAATAGATTAAATGCTAACTATCTCTGTTCATGAACTGTACTTAAGAGGAAAGATAACAAAGTCTTCCCATGCAAATGGATATTGTTGACTCAACCAAAGTGACTTTAGACCCAATCTCTGCCTCCCAGAATGGTTCACAAATATTGAAACCATCATTGAGTCTTAGTTTGTCCATGGCCTCGTAGGGTACCTGCAGTTTGGAGAGCAAGCCACTCTCACCTGTGTTAATCACTTTCTTTAACAAAGCTAGAAGCACTGCTCTCACAACTGTGTGTAGTTTCCAGAACTCCTGACACTTGCCTCCTGCAGCTTGGTCAAATTCACTGAGGGGAGAGGCAGCCCCATTTTTCTTGACATTATAAAACTATTTGGGGTTCAGTCCTCTGTGTATATTGAGCTTTCCATCTCTGGAGTGCAGATTTCAAAAATATTTCTAAAGCCCTTTTTTGTTCTTTCTTTCTCCCTGCTTATGGCTGTATCCAGGAGCCCCGGTGGCTCACTGTTTAAGAGCTCAGCTGTTAACCAAAAGATGGGCAGTTTAAATGCACCAGGAGAAATGCTCTGCAGGAGAAAGATGTGTCAATCTGCTTCTGTAAAGATTACAGCATTGGAAATCCTATGGGGCCATTCTACTCTGTCCTGTGTGGTCAGTTGGGATCAGCTCAAAAGTAACAGGTTTATGACTGTCTCCATGGCGCAAAAGACATAAATATGTATAGATGATCAAAAGTTTCTCCCCATAATTCTCAAGATGTAGTGACCTGGGTGAATAATTTACAAATTTACTTAATTCTTTATCCTTCTTTGTCTGACTTCTATTTCTGTTCACTGACTAGTAAATGATTTACAAAGATCATACGAGATTTCTACTATAAGATGTGTGGTTTAGTCTTTACAGCTTGCTGTAGTCTCTGAGGATAATTTAACTTTTTTTTTAATCCTATGGTTTGTGTGTGTGTGTGTGTGTGTGTTTGCTTTTTAAATCACTGTTTGTATTTGTATGATTATTTCACTCTATGTATAGTTCTTTCTCAAAAATTGTGATTTGGGTGAAAGTTTGCAGAGCAAATTCATTCTCCATACAACAGTTCATACACATTTTGTTTCATGACATTGATTATGAACTCCATAATATAACAGCTCTCTTCCCACTTCCTCCCTGTGTCCTTCTTTAACAGTTAAAATAAGATGGGAGAATGGACTTTGCTCTACTCAACTTTGTTGTTGTTAGTTAACCTCGGGTAGCTTCTGGTTCATGGTGACTTAACATAACCTACTGAAAACCAAAAAGAAAGTTTTCCAATGGTTTTGAGATCATGGACCCTATTTAACACAAGGAAAGAAAATTCCTGAAAAATTTTTAGGCTCAGTAGCAACATGAAATAAATAAGATCAATTATTAAACACATACACACACATAAAAAAAGTCAAAGACAAAAAAGAAAAAAAAAAAGGAATGAGTTCATGCAAAGAAAATAGATGTGAAAATAGCCAGAATCCTGCCTCTGTTTCCTAATTTCAGGTGATTTTTTTTTTTTTAATCCTGGCCATGGTGGCTATTGCCGTGGGAAACAAAGGGCCTGAGGTCTTTCCAATCGGATCATTTGTTTGCTCTAGTCAATCTCTGAGTACCTGTTAGAAAAATATGTAATACCTTCTGTGAGCCTCAGTTTTGCCTGCTTGGCACTTCATGCTTATTGATGAAATGTGGCTAGCTGTGTAATGAAACTCAAATAATAAAAGCCTTAAGGGCTCTGTTCTAATAAATTGTTTATGCTGGAGTGGAAATTGACTGCACATCGCTTGCTTTGTGCAATTTACTCCAAAAATATTCCTATTCAGGAAATCCTGCAAATAGCAATATTCATCTTGAAAATCACATCACAGAACCTTTTGCAAGCTGAGAAACATAATCAATGAGACCGTGATATAGAGGGTGAAAATGAGGCATAATCACAACCCTTTTCCTTCAGTCAGCCCACTAGAAGGCATGACTTTGAATTTTGATTTTCAAATATATTCTTAATTTAGACATAAACTACATTGATTTCAGAATTCAGAAATGATCACTGAACATGAAGATCCAGGAACTAGTGAAAATTTCTATAAAGGGTCTTATGATGTTTTTAATCTTTAATGAATGTTTTCAGCAATGAAGTAGAGGTATACTATTTATTGGACATAAAACTGCTTAACTACTGCTTTCTAAACTTTTTATTAAAATATGATATTGAGGAGGGAGGGGGAGAAAAACACATAATATTAAGTTAAGGCTTACTGATGGAAATACTTTCATATTTATGATAGGGAAGGTTTTTTTTTTTTTTTTCCTCTCCTCCCCACAAGAATGATTTTCCTTCTGTGGTCTATAAATAAACACAACATACTGCTCTGCTGGCTCTTCCTTACATGTAAGAAACATAATTGCCCATAATGGCAAATCTACACTGAAAACTACCAAAGGGCAAGATTGCAGTGACTGAAACTTAAAGAAATTGAACAGCAAAATCCTTCTGTGCATGTGTTTGTATTCCTGTGAGTGTTCACATCATTAGCTTCTCAGAGGTTAATCCAGCTCACTGTTTAGAATGAGATAATTCATGTTCAAATAAGCGTTCCCTCAAATAGGTGAGCAGTAGCTCAAGTTAAGCTGAGAGAGATACTAGTTTAGTTTGCTTTTTTTATTTTTTAAGAGGATGGCAGTAGAGAAATGATATGCAGTGTTCCTCACTATAGCTGATAGGAAGAAACAACCTAAAGGTTCATCAGCAGGTGAATGGGTAAGTAAAATGTGATATATACATACAATGAAATACTACTCAGCCAGAAAGACAAATGAAATCCTGATGCATGCTCCAATATGGATGATCCATGGAAACATCATTCTGTGTGAAATAAGTTAGTCACAAAAGGACAAATATTTAATGATCCCACTTACATTAAATTTAATTTTTAGGATAGGCAAATGTATACCAGAAGATCAACAGTTCAAATGCACTAGCCACTCTGTGGAAGGAAGATAGGGCAATCTACTTCTGTAAAAATTTACAGTCTCAGAAACCCAATGGGGGTTGCTATGAGTTGGCAAAGATTTGATGGCAATGAGTTTGTTTGTATCCTCATTTACTACACAACTAAGTAGTGATTTACTGAATGTTAAAAACTATCCTAAATTTAGGACTTTTGGTAAGATGGAGGAATAGGCAGACAAGCAACACAGACCCTCTTCAAAAAAGAAAAGAGAAACCAATTGACAGAGATACAGAAGATAATCCTGGAGCTCTGAACTTTGAAAGGAACTATACAGAAGTGGATTAGGTACCAACTAGTGGAAAAACATGAACGAAAACAGTGAGTACAGAGACGATTGGCGCTGCGGACTGTCAGCTACTCTGATGGGACCAACAGTCTGAATATTTCCAAGTGGTGTTGAGACCTGATAATTGACCTAAAGATTAGCCCTGGTCACCAAAGGCTGCAGGGATGACTGTGCTTGTGGCCTACAACTAGGGAGGGAAACAGTAAGGAGGGAGACAGTGAACTTTCCACTG